CTTTTTTCTTGAGTCTGTTTGCTCATGCAAAATTAAATGTGATTAATATAGATTAAAAATGAATGATATTTAATCATGATTAATCAAAATTAATCCACAGGAACCCTGTAATTAATCTGATTAAAAATTTTAATCATTTGACAGCACTAATATATATATATATATCGGCCGATATATCGGAATATCAGATTTTAAAACCAAGAAATATTTGTATCGGTATCGGCCTTCAAAATCCTTTATCGGTCGGGCTCTAGTGTCTATACAGTGCTTGTTACATACACATGGATGCACTGCAACACACAAACACGCAAAAGATTAAAAATAAAAAGATTAAAATTGGAACAATTATTTATTAATTATTAATTATTTGGATAAGTCCATATCTTGTACTGCTTACTTTATTGTATACTGATTGCACTAGTAGTGCATGTGTTTTGGGTTCTGAAAATGATCAAATTTTCAAAATTTTGTTCATGTCAAATAGAAAAGAATCTGATTTCTGCATAATGACATGAGGACATTTTACAATTTTTTACTCTTTTTAATTATTATTGCTGCATTATACTGATCCCAACCATCAAAATGGCTGGATGTTTTCATTAATGTAATTTAAATTGTGTTTATTTAATTGTGAATTTAATAAAACATTATAATTTTCCTATGGTTTTAAATGTCTTGTGTTAATTTTACGTAACTAGATGAGTAACACATTCAATTCAGTTCAATTCAATTTATTTTTATACCGCACCTTTTATAACAAGGTGCTTTACATGGGTGTGTTGTGATGCATTACAATATCATTGAGAGAGAATAATACAAAGACACATAAAAGGCTCAGCTCAGATGGTGCCAAACACGGGCACCGGACATGTTGGAAGGAAGGCAGAGACCATGGGTGGTCAGAACATGCAAAGCCACATTGAAGGACATGCATAGTAGATAAAAATAACAAGTACAACAGCAGCAGCAGCCATAGTTAGGGTATCTTATGTGTTAAGTTGTGAGTAAGCTAAACTGAAGTAATAAGTCTTTAGCCGAGATTTAAAGACTGAGACCGATTCGGCATCCCGAACATGGGCTGGCAAACCATTTCACAATAGGGGCCGTGTAGCAGAATGTTTTACCACCAACTGTCACTTTAATTAAATATGGAACAACAAGGAAACCTGTGTTCTATGATCTGAGTGGATGATGCGGCTTGCAGGTAATGTGGCTGAAGTAATTCTGCTAGCTACTGAAGTGCTATACCTTTAAGTGCCTTATATGTAAATAGGAGAACTTTAAATTCAGTCTTGAACCTAAGAAGAAGTCAGTGCAAGGAACTACTGCTGCGTTCCATTTACCTTGGCAGTCATAACTCAGAACTGGGAAAGATGTCACACACGAGTTAAACATGTTCCAGTACAACAATTCAGAAAGCCATTAAATAAAACCGGGGACCTGGTTCAAAAGGCAACATTTCTTGTTTAGCCAGACAACTTGTTGGATTCAAGGTACCTCAGTTGGGCTTTATCTTCATTCACTTACATTTAAGAGCTGGACTGAGTAAGAAGCCAAAAACCTACCACTTCCATACGGAATGGGAGGAGGACTGTGTTTTTTTCCCACAATGTCATATTCGAAGTGCGTTTGCCTCATCTGTCAGTCTACCATTGATATTCCGAAGAAGGGAAACGTGGCGCGGCATTTTCGGATTGTTCAAAAACTTCCCTCCGAAAAGCGAGCTGAGAAAGAGAAAGGTGAAAGAACTAAAATCCCAGTTCAATTCAAAAATACTTTATTTATCTCAAAAATGAAATAATAATAATAATAATAATAATAATATTTATAATAATAATAATAAAGAGTACTAAATATTTTATACATAAATATATGTTTTGCATTTTTATAGTAGGTAGATCATTTTGACTTGGTCATTTATAAGTAGCTTGCAAGCTGAAAGAGCGTGGGCACCCCTGGCCTAGAGCAACCACGCCCTCTAGCCCGATCGGACTCAGAGGAGTATTGACAGCTACTCTGTTTAATCCTGGTAGCATAAAACTGGGAGAACCAGTTTGCTCATTGCAAGGGTTTGTCCTGAGTATGTCAGACAATGTAGTTGTAGCAGGTGTTGATTAAATGAAATCTAATCAACATTATTAATTATTATTAATTCACTCAAAATCTGTATGTTTTTCTGTTAGTAATTAATATGTATATCTGTTTATGAGAAAAGAAGGGGAGAAAGTTTCATTTCTTGATGAGTTCCGTGTGCGTCGCCGCTGTAACGTTATTGGCGCGTTGCGCGCTCTTGCTTCAGTCCACGGGAGGTCTGAGCAGAGCGAGGTATGCGTTTTGTTCAATCCTGTTCGAAAATGTGTAAAAAGAGAAATAATTACTATATATTTTATCTATGTATTATTGCGATAGATAAATGAGTTATGCGAATATGTTGTCTTTCCTTAGAACCGAATTTAAAGTTGTTTTACCTGCAAAAGTGTAGTTTTAATCGAGGGAATGCAGTGTGTCGTTGTCTGCGTAAAAGTTGGCCTGTGAAGCGTGACTGCTGATTTTTCTTCTGTGTGTGAATGTTTAGCAGGAGCAGGCAAGATTGCACAACGGATAATTAACTGCATGTTTTCTACTTATGCAGGTACAGTTTTTTATGTATTTTTATGATTTCGTTATATGTGTTCAAACTTAAATTGGTTTTATGTTTATATAATATGCTGGAAACTTTGATTGTATTAAGAAAAGTGTTATATACAAGATATATTTTGCAGATACGGTCATGTTGTACTGAAGTGATTACTAGTTACTACTATTTTCTTTATGTTACCATTACTTCTTGTATATACGAATCCTCTGTATTGTGAACTCTTGCTTCAGTCCACGGGAGGTCTGAGCAGAGCGAGCAGGAGCAGGCAAGATTGCACAACGGATAATTAACTGCATGTTTTCTACTTATGCAGCGTAAAATACAACTGAACCAGTAGATTGACTCCGGTGTTTATTTCACTACATACAACACAACGTACAGTAGAGGGGTAGCCGAGCCGGTTACATAGTGTTATTCTTCCCCATTCTTACTTGGTTGCATGACTGTACACTTGTTTGCCTTTGTGTGCCTATTCTCCCATACCTCGTTTCCACCAACATGGTGCTGGTGCAGGTACTGGTCTGTGTTCATCCCTGTCTAATGTCTTGCCCTGCATAGTTCTGTTCTGTGGACGTTCAGCCTGTCTGCTCTACCCCGATATGACCTCCTGTCTCTGTTCCCCGGTCTTTGGTGTTTTGTTCCTGGCTCCATTTTGTGTCCATTTTCCTGAACCAGGAGATATCTTGTTTGTCTCAGGCCCAGTATCCCTACTCCTGTCCTGTCTGGCTAGCTGTCTTGTGTTGTGGGGCACGAGCCAGGGATACAAGAACAAGGCTCGAGGAGTCAGTTAAATATGGGGTTTAATCGAGGAGAATACAGGCAGGCACATACAACAACAGCACAACGTCAAAGACCAGACTGGGGAAACATATTCACACGTGGACTTAAATACACTGGACTAATCAACAACAACGAGAAACAGCTGGTAACACGGGGATTCCACACAAGGTAGCGAGGCGTGGCACATGGGAGGATTGGACGAGCGGGGCATGACACTAGCATTCTGGTGCTGTGTCGTTTTACCCCAGTGTTGGGTCCCTTCTGTCCCTTGCCCTGTTCAGGCGCTGTATGTCCCCTCTCCGGTCTGCCTCACATACCTGTTACTTGTTTAATTTTACCTCTTGTTACAGCCCTGTAGGAATTATTAGCTCAAATAAATTTTAATATTCTCCACCAATA